GCTGAGCAGGGTGGTGCGGGAGCCGGGACTCCTGGGTTCTCTCCCCAGCTCTGGGAGGGGAGTGGGGGCTGGTGGTTAGAGCAGGGGGGGCTGGAAGCCAGGACTCCTGGGTTCTCTCCCCAGCTCTGGGAGGGGAGTGGGGGCTGCTGGGTCAGAGCAGGGGGGCTGGGAGCCAAGACTCCTGAGTTCTCTCCCCGGCTCTGGGAGGGGAGTGGGGGCTGGTGGTTAGAGCAGGGGGCTGGGAGCCAGGACTCCTGGGTTCTCTCCCCGGCTCTGGGAGGGGAGTGGGGGCTGGTGGGTTAGATGGAACAGTGCCCAGGTGTTAATGTGTGAGTGGGGGATCCCACATGTGGGGTAGTGTCTGGGGGGGCCCCGCCAAGCAGCCGCTCCCCCTCATCTCCACATCTGAAAAGCGCCGTCACCCTCAGGACCCAGCCCCCCCCAGAACCTCGTCCCTCTGCTGCCAACCCCCTAAGCCCCCCTCTACTGTGGGGCAGGGCCCCTGTTTGCCCCCTACCTCCACCCCAGAGCCCCTCCCCCCATACCTGATCACCCCCTTTATACTGACAGCTCCTCCTCCCACACCTCTTGCCCCCCTCAGTCTCTGTGTCCCCTCTCCACCTCCCCACCTCACTGACCCTTCCCCCTACCTCAGTGCCCTCCCTGTCACAGGGGGCCCTCTCCACTCCCCCATGTGCCCCATCTCTCCCACTCGAACCCTCCAACTCACCCCGCCCCCTTCCCCACAGTCACTTTATTGGGGGGGGGGCGGTGAATTGTCAAAGACACGAACACGACATGCAAAAGGAAACACTAAAAAATGTCTTTTATAAGCAGCCAGAAACCCCCCACCCAGGGCTGCCAGCCGGGCTCAGGGGAATTGGGAGGTGACAGTCCCCCCCCCCCGGGGTGTCAGGGTGTCTGGGACCCAGAGATCAGGAACACCAGTGTGAGCCCGGCTGGGACATGTACCCCCCGCGGTTCCCCTCTCCCCCATGCCAGCTGGCGCGTCAGACCCATGTATGCCAACGCCCCCGGCAGGGCTCAGAGCTGGCCCAATACAGCAGCCGCCGCCTAGGGCCCTCGTGTGTGCGCGTGTGTGCACAGTGCTTGTAGTGTGTGTGTCGGTGTGCAGGAGCTCCGTGCAGTGCGTGTGACAAATGTGCAGTGTGCGCAGGGAGGGTGCAGTGCATCGGTGTGCAGTGAAGGTGCAGTGTGTGTACGTGTGGGGTTTGCATGCGCAGTGAGTGTACCGTGTGTGCGCGCTCCTGCCTGTGTACATGCAGTGTAGCGCGTCTAGATGCAGTGCAGTGTGTGTGAAGTATATACATTCAGTGTCCATGCAGTGTGTCAGTGCGCAGTGTTCCTGCAATACGTGAGCAGTGTCCGTGTGCAGCGTCCACTTGCAGTGTGTCCAGGGGCAGTGGTTGTGAATAGTGTGCAGTGTGCACAGTGCAGGTGTGGAGCGAGTGTGCAGTGCATGAGCAGTGTGTGTGCAGTGTGCGTGTGTCAGTGTGCAGTGTGCACAGTGCAGGTGTGGAACGAGTGTGCAGTGTATGAGCAGTGTGTGTGCAGTGTGTGTGTGTGTGTCAGTGTGCAGTACACACAGGGTGTGTGCATGCAGCTCGTGCCGCGTCTGTAGGTGTGCAGTGGTTGGGCGCAGGGCGGGTGTGCCTGCGGAGCACGTGCGTTGTGTCTACGTGTGCACCGAGGTGCGGAAGTGCGGTGCTTGTGCAGCAAGGCTCCGCCCCCCATCCCCTGTTCCCCTACCGGGGGGCCCGGCACCAGCGTCGGAGCAGCAGAGCGTTAAAATCCTGGCTAGGAAATGCCCCCGCTGCTCATGGGGAGGGGCGCTGTCCCCCCGGCAACAGCTGGGTGCCCCCTAGTGGCCCGTTCAGTGAGCTCCGGCTCGGTGCCATCTAGTGGTCAGAAGTTCCACAGGCCCACAACTGCCCCAGTCTGGGGCCGGCTCCGCCCCGAGCCGACCCCGTGACCGCCCCGCCCCGCCCCGCCCCGCCCCGCCGTCCGATGCATGCAGTATCCACTCTCAGGGCCTGAGCCGCAGGGCGAGAAGGGGAAGGAGGGCGAGGAGGGGCAGTGGGGCTGGGGGGGGCCCGGGGCCCCGGTCGGTTGCAGCGCATGGCTCTACAGGGGAGAAAAAAAAGAGGAGGGGGGGATTAAGCCATGGCCCGGACCCTGGGGGGCAGGGATACCAGGCTGGCTGGGCCGTGATGGCAGGGGAGGGGGATATATTTGGTTTGTCCTGCCTCAGTTTCCCTCTGTGAGCTCCCCTCCCACTTCCCCCATCCAGTTACCCCTTCCCCTCCCCCCATGAGGCAAAGACTCCCCCCCATGATGCCCCACAGCCCCTTTCCTGATATAGGGTCCCCCCGTGCTCTCCAGCCCCCCCTGGTATGGCAGGGTCCCCCCCCCCAGGCGTCTCACCAGTGATGTTGAGAAGCTTGGGCAGGAAGCGGTTCCAGAAGGCGCAGACCTGGGCCCGGAGCCCCTGCCCCACAGCCAGGGGGCGCGGGTTCAGCTGTACGTACTGCTGCTGCTGCGGGGTGTAGGGGGGCCAGCGCACCCCCCGCTCTGATGCCTCATTGGGGTCCCTGCCCAGGAGGGAGAGAGGGGTCACGCCCTGCTGGCCAGGGTCCCCCAAACCCACCCGCCTGGCCCCCCAGTGTGGGGACCTCCCTCCACTGACTCACTCCTGTGCACCCCCAAACCCACCTGCCTGTCCCTCAGTGTGGGGACCCCCCTCCGGGGACCTCCCAAACCCACCCACCTGGCCCCCCAGTGTGGGGACCCCCCTCCACTGACTCACCCCTGGGGAGCCCCAAATCCACCCAACTACTTCCCAGTCTGGGGACCCCCCAGAGACCTCCAAGCCCACCCACCTGTCCCCCAATATGGGGACCCCCCTAACCCACCCACCTGCCCTCTTGCGTGTGGGGACCCCTCTCCACAGACCCCCCACCCCACAGGCCTCCCCAGGCCCCCCAGCTTGAGGTCCTGCCCCCCGGATCTCCCCCCCGGTACCCAGTGCGGGCGAAGTTAGCCCAGTAGCGCATCATGCGGCGGCTGAGGGCGGCCTCTGCGGCCGTGTAGTTGAGGCCGGGGTCGAGGGGCAGGCCGAAGACGAACTCGATCTCGTAGCCGTGGGGCACCCCCATCCAGGGGGGCCAGAGCATGTTGGAGGCGCGGTGGTCGAAGAAGTAGGTGTAGACCCGGGCGCCCCGCTCAGCCAGCCGCAGGGCAAAGTGGGTGACGGGGCAGATGACATTGTGGTCCCCCACGATGTCGTCCATGGCCTCCCGGTTCTTCACCGGGTTGTCCTGGTCCAGCCAGTCGGTGTATTGCAGCACCACGGCTTCGGCCGCCAGCTCGTTGGCCTGGGGCACCCCCATGCGCACCCCGCCCAGGAAGTCCTCCCGGCTGATCAGGCTCTCGTTGTCCTTGCTGAAGCCGGGCGCCCCGTAGATCAGGAAGTAGGTGCCCTCGTCCCGCACCACCCCCACCAGTGCCTGGGTCTCCTTGAAGCCACCGGCGCCCGGTGTGGCCTCGGGCACCTCGCCGGAGAAGTCCCCGTCGGCCACCGGCACGAAGGAGAAGCGGAAGACGCTCTGGTGGGGCAGCACCTGCCACTCTTGGTCGATCAGCTCCTGCGGGGTCTTGTCCCGCAAGCAGGCCACCAGCTCCGAGTCATTGCCCGGCGGGCAGCCCACCAGCTTGGCCAGCTGGGCGGCCCGGCGCCGGCCCTCGGCCGGGGGCACGGTGGCCCAGGGGGCGTTGGGCACCCCGCTCTGCAGGATGGCGCGGCGGAAGAGCGGGCGGCTGCCGGGCGAGAGCAGGTGCATGCCCACCGAGGCGGCCCCGGCGCTCTCCCCGAAGATGGTCACCGCCTTGGGGTTGCCCCCGAAGAAATGGATGTTGCTCTGTACCCACTGTAGGGCCAGCCGCTGGTCCAGTAGCCCCACGTTGCCCGGCGCCTCCTGGCTGCCCGAGAGGGCCAGGAAGCCGAAGGCCCCCACCCGGTAGTTCATGGAGACCACCACCACCTGCTCGGCGTAGGCCAGGTAGCGCCCGTCGTAGACGTCCAGCGAGGCGGAGCCGCTGTAGAAGCCGCCGCCGTAGATCCAGACCAGCACGGTGGCGTTTTTGGGGCGCGGGGAGGGCACCCAGAGGTTGAGGTACAGGCAGTCCTCGCTCATCTCCTGGTTGGGGTTCCACATCTCCGTGCCGGGGAAGCCGGGGTAGAGGGTGTCGACGTACTGGTAGCAGGCGTGGCGGTAGGCGCCGGCGTCCAGCAGCCCGCTCCAGGCTCGCTTGGGCTCCGGCCGGCGGAACCGCAGCCTGCCCACGGGCGGCTCGGCGTACGGGATGCCCAGGAAGGCGGAGACCTGGCCCGAGAGGACGGGCACCCGCAGGCCCCGCACCCGCCCCACCCGGGTGCTGGCCAGCAACTCGTCGGCCCGGGCGGAGAGGGCCAGGGCGGCGAAGAGCAGGAGAGCGGGGCCGGGCAGGGCTCCGGCCATGGCGTGTCTGCGGGGGGAGGGGAGAGACGGGGTTAGGGGGGCAGCAGGAGACGTCCCCCACCCCCGAGCTCCCCAGCCACTGACAGCCCCCCACCCCTGGGGCCGCAGCAGGATCCCGTCCCCCAACTGCCTGCCCTGATAAGGGAACCACGGGGGCCTATTCCCGACCCAGCAGCCCCAGACGCCTTATCGGCAGCATGCAGAGACTGGGGCACTGGAAAGGGAGTGGGGGCTGGCGGGTAGGCGGGGGGG